CATATACTGTATGGAACCAGACCTATGCCCATATAGCACAAGATACAGGTACTGTGATCCTGAACAGTGAACCTACAAGAAATGCAGAGCAATAAAGGGGTTAACAAAATAGCATTTCCCTTGAAATGCACTCAGCTCTTATCAGAGAGCAATCTTCATGAGCCAGGATTTTGGGTGCTGTAAAAAGGTGGTTGTTAGCGTGTGTGTAATTACAATGAATTTCCATAAGGCTGGAAGCCTTGTATCAGAGCATTAACATGACTGAGACGTGCATATCATTTTTGGACTAGCTTCAAAGAAAATGTATGATTCTAAAGCAAACCACAGTTTGTTTTATTGTAAAATGGATGCTGGGCTTTACAGACTGAAAATTTTCAAAGAAAATAGTTTTTATGTTTTGAAAATTAATGTATTAATCATGCTCTTAAGGTTATTATAAAATAAATACTTCATGATCAAACACATGTTTTTGATATATGGCTTAATTAAATCACAATGATTTGTAATACAAAGATGCCAACGAATATGAAACGAGCTCCATTTTACTTAGAAAGGTCATTCTTTTTTCTCCTGATTAAAACTCCTAATAAAATTACAGCAGCTATGTTTTTCATCAAGGAAGTAGTTAAACAACTAATTTTTATATAAATACATTCCATGCCAGTTCAATAAATTAGAAAAAAACAAGAATAACCTAGTTAAAATGCAATTCCGAGGAAACAGTGGGCGGATGGCTATTTACATGAGAAAGCACAGACTAAATGAGCCTCATAAATTATTCACAGCTAACCAACAGAATTTAGGGGATCAGATCTCTTTAGAAATTAAGTGAGAGCTACTGGCAGAGACACTCCATTTTTCCCCCCACCAGAGCTGACAGGAGAATCTACTTCGAACATCCTAATGAATTTCAGTCCCACATCTGCTTGCGAGCAAGGCCAAGATCACCTTAAAAAGGAATCTGTGACAAATCACTCTGCCAACTCACTCTGCCTGATATATTCCCAGCTTTCTGAGGCATAAAATACAAAGGATTCAGTGATGAGATCAAGCAGCAAAGGAAATACATGCTTTTTATGATTTATTTGTCTGTTCTGTGCATTGTTTTCCCTTTTTCGCACCCAAATTAATTAAATCTTTCCCTGTAAAAGCCAGACTCTATTTCTGTCAACTGCCTCTTTTTTAAAAAAAGGTTTAGTAAACTACAAAGTTGCCTTGCACACACCACAGATTTCATTTTCATCTCTCCAGCAGTTCTTTTTCTCCAAATGGGGAAAGAGAGGAAATGACACTCTCTCATTCCTGCTTTTTGCGCCCAAACAAAGGCAATTATGTAATTTTCATTTTTCACATGTAATGTCAAGGCCTTATTAAGTTTAATTTAGATTAATAAAATTGGAGCCAAGGAGAGGAAAGCTGCTCTCATCATAAAGGGAAACATCTCAGGAGCTGGCCTCTTTCCCCCTCCCCACTTTATCACATCTTGTCCTATCCTGGCTATTTCAAGCTGAGAAATAAGCTAAAGGGGAGGAATTAGGCCCTCTTTTATGGCTGGATCCCACAAGGCACAGAGCTCTTCAATGCTGATCCAGCAAAGCACGTACAATTCTGGCAACTGCACATACAAATCAGGTATTTGTATGCATACATGGCTTATGATGAATTCAGTTGGTTATTTACATCTACTTGAGTGAAAAATTACAATAATTATGCATATAAATACGGCATGGAAGTCTGTATGCAGTTTTAAAAATCAGCTCTTTGTGACCATGTTCCCTCCCAACCCAAGCTTCAGAAGGTTTTTCAATATGGCTCAGCATCTGAAGTATGTCTTCATTTTAAGTTATCTCCTATCTCTTCTGATAATGAATATGGCTTCATAAACTAAATCAATTCACTGCTGTCATTTTGTTTCTGCAGAGTTTGAAATAATTATCTAGGACCAGGTCACAAATAAAGGAAGATACAGAGTGAGGGGTCAAATTAGTCACTGCTTTTGTTAAATAATAAAGTGAGCCAAATCTAAGCAAGGTAGGATGTCCTTGCTAAAAATGACTTAGACCATTGTGTGCTAGGTAATCTATACCAGAGCAGAAACCAAAGGCACTACTCCACTGGGACCAGCAGCCACTGGTGAAGTCCTACCCTGGGATGGGTTACCCTGGCAAAGATGCAGCCTGGTATATTGGGCCTTCATGCAGTCATGTCTCTCCATTTGATGCCCCTTACAGACGCCAGTAGCTTGAATCCCTCAATGTTGCACCTGGCATAAATGGATCACTTTACCACATGAGGTTCTTTGGGAGTTCCAGGTTTGATTGAACATAACATCAAGTGAATCGTAACAAAACTGTCTGGTTTTGTAAGGTGCCTGGCAAGTTTCACTATCCCCACCCTACCCACAAGCAGCTCCTGGCACACACTCTTTCCCTGTTTACGTTTTCTGAGTGATGAAGCAGTGACCTGTATCCCCAATTCCCCCTATAGACTTATCTGGTGTCAGCCATTACTTTGTATCTGACACCTGTGATTATAGGTGTCAAGGAGGAGGGTTTGGAGACTTATAGCAGGTAGAATTTTAGCTCCCCCTCCCAAGCAGGCACCCTGCCCTGCAGTTCTACCTTCATGAACAAGTCTGTTGTCCTATGGGTGTCTTCAAAGGAACGGGCCCTGAAGAGACAGTCATCCAAGTATGGGTAGATCATGATCCCCAGGGTGCGTAAGTGTGCCACTACTATGGAGAAGACTTGGAGAATACTCTGGGGGCCCATGAGAGGCCAAAAGGCAGTACTCTGTACTGGTAGTAGTCCTGACCTAGGGTAAACTGGAGGAATCAGGGCCAGCGCAACCCATTAGGTGACCTAGGCAGTCGCCTAGGGCACAATTTGGAGGATGGCAACTGTGGCGGTATTTCGGTGGCGGGACCTTCTGCCGCCTCTGTGAGGGGCGGCATTTTGGGGCGGGACCTTCCACCGCCTAGGGCGACAGAAAAGCTGGCGGCGCTCCTGGGAGGAGTCGTCTGTGGGCCGGTAGAATCAATATGTGGAAAGTAGGCATCCTGAAGGTCAAGGGCCAAGAACCAATCTCCCTGTTCCGTGGATGGAATAATCACTATTAATGTGACCATCTTGAATTTTTGAGCCTTCACATATTTGTTCAGTGCTCTGAGGTCCAGTATGGGTCTCCAACCTCCCTTTTTCTTGGGGATCAGGAAATATCAGGAATAAAACCCCTTTGCCTCAGAGATGTGCAGGCATAGATGTGTCTATGGCTCCTAGAGATAGGAGATGATCTATGTCTTAATAGTCTCTCATGAGAGGGGTTCCTGAAGTGTGGGGGGGGGGGGACGAAAGTGGATAGAATACCCAGGAGAGATAATTTCCGAAACCCATCTGTCGGATGTTATGTGTTTCCAATTCTGATGGAACAGAACCAGACGATATCCAAAGGGATGAGAAAGGTCAGAAAGTTGCAGTTGGTGTCATGGGGAGTAGTCTCATGGGGCCTCAACCAAGGAGTCAAAATTGGTGTTTTGAGGTGGAAGGTTGTGATGTGGAGGACTGAGGGCATGATGATTTACACCTCTGAATTTTAGACTTTTTCCATTATGGCTCATAATAGCACTGTAATGGGTACTGGGTTGGACATGACTTTTGGGAAGGCTGAGGGGTAAATTTCCTTTTTCGCCTAGCCCCAGTGATCGAAGTGTGGCTCTGGAGTCTTATGGCGCATGGCATCGATCTTATCTGCAAACAATTTGAAGGGGAGATCCTTGACAGTGATCTGAACCCCCTTTGGCAGTTCCAAAAGATGCAACCACATCACTCACCACATCACGACCACTGTGGAGATTGAACAGGCTGCAGTATCCATGACATCTAGTGCAGTTTGGAGTTCTGTTTTTGCCACCAACTGCCCCTCTTGTATGATGGCCTGAAATTGGTCTCTGTATGACTCTGGCAGGTGATCAATAAAGTTGTTAAGCTTGGCACAATTTGTGCAATTGTATTTGGCCATTAGCGCTTGGTAGTTTGCAATAAGAAATTGCAAAGTCATGGAAGAGTAGACCTTTCTCCCAAACAAGTCCAGTCTCTTCCAATCCCTATAGTAAGGGGTGGATTTTGAATAGTGCTGGTGGCCACAGGAGTTCACTTTATCCACCACAATAGAATTAGGTGGAGGGTGGGAGAAGAGGAACCCTGAGTTTTTGGTGGGTGCATAATACATTTTGTTGGCCTCTGTGCACATCTGTGTGGACAATGCTGTTGTTTGCCATATGAATCTTACTGGGTCCAAAAGCACCTTATTAATAGGGAGGGTGATCCTTGAGGAGGAGGAAGTATGTAGAATGTCCAGCAGTTTATGGTGGGTGTCCCTCATCTCAAGAGGGATTTGTACTGAATCTGCCATCCTCTTTGTAAGGTCCTGAAAGGACCTTAAATTGGCTGCCATGGACGGAGGAAGGGGCATTACGGCCTTATCTGAAAAAAAGGAAGAAAAATGAGTTGGTGTTGTGGTCTTCTCTTTGGGCTCAATCTCCTGCTGTTTGGAGATTTCCTCCGTAGGCTCTGAGGCTCTCGATCAGCGGTTCTTAACCCATAGCCCAATTAGCACACAGCTGCAGCCCAGCTGTGTGCTAAAGGCTATGGGGCTGGATTACCAGCTGCCTGGCCGCCCAGCGCCTCGGGGTCTGGGCTGCCTGGCTGGACAGGGCACGGTGTGGCACAGCGGGGTCGGAGTCCAGAGCGGCGGGTTCCGGGTCTGCCACTCTACCAGCCCCATGTGGAGGAGTCCGGCGGGGTCTGGGGCTGCCTGCATGGCGGGGTCTGATGGGGTCTGCGGCTGCCACTCTGCCGTCCCCGCATGGCGGGGTCTGGGGCTGCCGCCCAGCTGGCCCCACAGGGAAAAATCAGTCCAAGTTAATGAATAAGCTCTCGCTTCCTGTCTTTCTGACATATGACTGGCACCAAGACATCAAAAAAGCAAACCCAAAACACTGGTCTTTTGACTAAGTTTACTCTGTTACCTCTATTACAGCCAGCAAATTAATCACACTTATGAATTCACAGCAGTTCTCTTGAAGTCAGGGGAGGCTCCAGACACCAGTGCAGCGTGTTGGCTGCTGTGAGGGTGGCAGTCAGGCAACGTGCCTGTGGGAGGTCCGCTGGTCCCGCAGTTTCGGTGGCAATTCGGCGGCAAGTACGCCAAAGCCACAGGACCAGCAAACCACCCACAGAAACACCGCCGAATCCGCGTGACCGCGGACCGCCTGCAGGGATGCCGCCGAAGCCCGCCTGATTGCCGTGCTTGGGGCGGCAAAAAACATAGAGCCGCCCCTGCTTGAAGTGGTTGGTGTAATCATTGCAGAACACTTGCTTTTGGTAGAACAGAGAAAAATGACACAAGCAAATATATTTCAGTTATTGCATTCCTGTCTGCACCCATCCCAACATCAAGGCTCTTTGGAAAGTTAAATGCTCCAATGGACCTTCCGATCTTACTAGTACAACAAAAATACTATGTCTACAACTTCAATTTTTCATTCACCAGAAAATAAAACTTTATAATCTTTAGAATTAACAAAAAAGTGATTTAGAATAAAAATATAATAATATCAAATTTTAAAAACAGGAAACATTGCACACCCAATTCTGACTTATTTACATTGTTGTTCTCAGTAAAGTAAGGCTCTCCAAAACCATTTGTTATCAGTAAACATTGTGAACTCAATCCTTTTCTCCTTGCATATGTAGTAATTTGGGGCATTCAAGAGTTTTATCATTCACACGAGCATGGGAATCTAGAGGGATTTCCTTTCAACACAGATGCCAAGTCAAATAAAAACAAATTTATAAACATTTGTCAGATGGTTGTGGTCTGTCAAGCCCACTATGTATTTTTGGTAATGAAACAAAACCAAGCCTGGTGCCAGTGATTTATTTTTTTAGTCATTCTATAATCTTCATAAAGTGTAAAAACACATCTGTGATGAAACAGCACATACATCCAGCATAACATTAGTACAGTCCATGTGCTGAGTGCGGATATTACCTCTTCAAAAGCTATTCATTCTAGTTTAACACCAGCCCTCTATTTCTGTCCTCCTGGTTTCATGCATTCTAGCATGAATACTAAGGACCTGATCCAAAGCCCATGGATGGGAATTCTGTCATTGACTTCAATGAGCTTTGATCGGGCCCCCTATGAGATTTCCAACACCATTTACAAGGTGTTGAATGCCCTCAGCCCCCTTGACTTAATTCTTTTCCCAACACCTTGCAGGACTGCCCCTTGCCCCTGAGTTCATCATAACACAGAATATTACAAACTAGCTCAGACCATTTTTGAAGAAAAAGATATTAAAGATAAAGTGATGGTTAATCTTGCCAAGGTGGCCTTGCAGTGGGGTCTTCATGCTCTTACTCCTGTGGGAGCTCTTCCCCTTCTGGTGAAGGGCTAACCCCTTAGAACTCTGCTGCTGCAGCTTGGCTGATGAGTTGCTAGATGCTTCTGCCATCACAGACACATGTTTGGGCAAAAGACTCTCACTGTGTGGAGGCAGCAGAGGTGTTGAATCTGGCACTGGGTTATCTTTTGAAATCATATCCAAGCCACTTGCAGCTCCTCCTCCTGCACTCTCCCCTCCTTCAGACTTTGTAAAATGAGGAATGGATTCTGCTTTCTTCTCTTTTCGTTCCTTTCTTAAGCTCTGAAGGTTTTCAAAGGCCAGTACCAGTTCAGTTTGTAAGGTTTCCATTTCGCTGGCTGCTTTATCCCGTTGTTCCCCACAGTCTTTGAGTGAATGCTCCAAAGAGAGGAAGAATTCTTTTCCAAACCTTGACAGGGCCTCATCACCTTAAGAGATAATAGGGCAGTGAGTTAAATTACAACAGACATTTCACATCAACAGGAATAATCAGGGAGATTTATAAGTGCCAGTAGTCACATTAAAGTATAAAAGCATAAATCAGTAGTAGTTTTGACATGGCTTGGAATGTGTCAGTAAAGCTTTAAATCTCTTGTCCTGTGGATCACCTGGTTCTTTGCAACATGTGGTTCATCATTTATCTAGAAAAGCTAAGACTGACAATACAGTGTGTTAGAGAAAGTATTTCCCCCTCTACCAGAAATCAACAGTGCCTGTGTGTAGTAGTCACTAGCCTTCTGCCAAAGATGCCTGAATGCTACTCCCAAATTGGTCAAACAAATTGCTTTCAGATTATGTAAGCCACTCCCTTTCTCCCTCTCAGCAGTTGTCTAAAATTCAGATCTTGTATTCCCATTAGACTGTCAGCCCATACCTTGGTATTTCAACTAGAAAAACACTAGCCTAGAGTAGCCACAATGGAAATTATCACTGATTGTGCATGTTTTTGTTAATCCACAGTTTAGACTCAATAACGAAAAATGGTATAAGACAAAGTCAGGATTATGGAATTTCTTCCATTTATAAATTCAAGTCAAGGTGCCAGTGAGAAGTAGCACTTTTTCCTTTTATGGGTTTGTCTTTTTATTGTTATACAAATAAAATACAAAGGCACACACACTGTTATACAGTAGAACTGTGCAGAACTTTTTCCTTTTCCTCCTGGGTTTGATGCCAAGACTATTGGTTAGACACTGCAGAGTTCAAAGCTTCTAACTGATACAACAGTATATGATAGCACTGACTTTCTTTTTTAATAAGGTTATGTTTGGAAAGGTACAAAGAAAGGAAATATTTAGGAATCTACTTATTTTTTACCCCCTGCATAGAGTTGAACTTCTGCAAGATCTATAATTGTCTACTTCCTAGATCCTAGACAGAAACAATCCATCCCCTTCCATGTGTGGAGAAGACAAAGGAGGGAGATTATAGTCAATTTAAGATCCACTTATGATCTCATCCTGCACCACCCTGTCCTACAGGCAGGATGTGGCATTTTGGGGAAGTTCTCTTCAGGTGATTTCACTGTCAATTGACAGTGGCCTCACACCTCAGCCGAATTAGGGCAATAAAAATCTAAAAGCCAGTGTAGCTTCTATGGGATAATAAATAAACCTGATGTAGGAACATAAAAGCTCCTATACCACCCCTTCCTTGCAGCCAGTGTAAGATGCATGACTGGGGCTTTCCCTCACCCTGGTGATCCTTGACTGAGGTGTGGTCTACAAGAAAGAACAGAAGACTAGAATCCAGGGACTCAAGTCTTGCTGTGTGATGTGGGATAGAGACCTCTATATTGATGCAAATATAATATTAATCAAATGGTTATATCTTATTTTTAAGTCATTACTAACTTGTTTGCACCTTTATTTAATATTAAAGAAATATCTACAAGAATGTTCTAGCCAGGATGTTTGGAAATATAAACATATGTTTAATTTGTTTTGTTATAAAATGTTAAAGCTTATCAAAGAAATTCCAGAAGGTTTCTGCTTCTATCTCCCAAGGACAAGCAAACATCAAGATGACAGACCATGTCAGACATTAAGCTGTTAAGTGGAGGCCTAATTATGTTGTATTCTTTAAAACTTTAGAGAAAAATATGTCAACATTTTTAAACTTTTATTTCTCAAGTAATGAATAATTATTTTTTAAATGTTGAAAAGACAAAAACCTTTGTAAAATGCAGACTTGCAAATATGTTAGCTAAATACAAAACTGTTAATATAATTCCTGATGTTATTGCTATGTAAATGGTAAAATTCTTTATGTACCACCTTGCTAAATTAGAGTAGGAAGTCATTTAAGTACAGACTATTTATATTACTGGGGAACTAATTACATACTGGCAGTACACACACAAACCCTAACCAATATCATCTCTCCAAAGTCATCAACTTTAAATTATTTAAGATAAAGACTTTGTAAGAGTTATTTAATTTTAAAAAGACTATTTTGAAAACTGAAAACTTTCATATAAAGAACAGGAGTGTTTGGACTTTTTAAAAAGAGAATTTAATTTCTTCTCAAACTCTAATAAAACTGAAAGATTATTTCAAACTGGATTGAATAAAAAAAAGAGTTAAAACAAAGTTTAAAAGTTGTCTGCATCATTCCTGCCACAAGAAAAACGAAGGCAATTAAAGAAATGTTGCATATTCATTAAACAGAATATGTAGACATATTTAGGAACTGAAAGTGTCACCTAAGCCAACCCTAAAGGCATAAAGCCAATGAAAGGGTGACAGTGACCAGTTTACAATCTAAACAAGCCTAGAAGAGGTGTGCTTTCCTATAATCTCAGGAAAACAGGAAGAAGGGTTAAAAAAACCCTGTAAAGTGAGCTCCTCTCTCTCTCACACACACACACACACATACCCCCTATGCAACCCTGCTCAAACACAGCATTCCACAAGCAAAGTGCCATAAACAAATTAACAAAAACAGAGAAGACTCAAGATGAAAGCAACCCAAGGAAAACCTCCCTAAGACTTCAACATGGATTGGTGAGAGGAAATTAACTAAATCAGTGCCAGGGGATTAGATTTGCAATTCTTGTAATGATTTTCCTGGAATATTAAAATGCTGTTGTAACTTAAAAGACTAACAGTTTCTCCTGAAACACCAAATGATTGGACCACATATTTGGAGAGGAGACAGGGACTAAACATTGGTAAACAGTGAAACAGTGGAATGTAAAATTCTTAATATTCATAACTGGTGTTTCTTAAGACAGCTCCTCACATGGCTTTTTCTAGGTAACTAATTTAAATTTGTTCTTTATTTAGTTAAGATTGCTTACTTTGCTAACTGTAAACTGGCTGATTATTTATTAATAACCAACAGGTTCCCCCCCTGAACAAAATTATTTTGCCCATTGTGACAGTACACACCATATTCTTCATGAAACTATTGTTATAATATGATTATAGCATGACCATGATATGTTTTGTGCAAGATAAGGAATGTGAGATATCATTGGAAAGGTTAAGATTTGCTGAATATGATTATTCCATTTGTATGCATGTATCATTTTTGTATCTAAAGTTAGGAATATTGACTATACATCTGTACTACAAAAGTATTTGCACCTGGGGAACACCCACCAGACAGAATACAATCAGTCTGGCTGGCTACCTGGGGACAAGTCAATGGACCATTCGGGAGAACGATAGGTCTTTGAAGATGCTAATCTTACACCTTCCTAGGATGCTACAAATGGCTGCTTTGACACTGCAGAGTCATATAATCATGTCACCTGGTACTGGACTCCATGATAGAATACCAGTATTTTTCCATCTGAGGGAGGGGTGACCACACCGGATAACAAAGGGTTCCCACCATATGTAAAACCTATTTAAGGCAAAAGGAGGGACATTATCAGTGGTCGTTCTTCCCTGAATCCCCACCCAGGATGACTGCTGTGAATATCTAAGCAACAAAGACAAGGGGGGAGAAGGACTGAGCCCAGGCTGGGAAGGTGTCTGGCCTGTGAAAGAAATATCTGGAGTTTTAAGCTACAAGCAGGAGCAGCTTGCCTTCAAGAATCTCTGCAATCTGCCTGAAACATTTAAAGTGAGAAATTACTACTTGTAACCAGTTTCTTTAGTCTATTAAACTTAGTTTGCGTGTTTATTTCATTTGCTAGGTAATCTGCTTTGATCTGTTTGCGATCCCTTATAATCTATCTTTTGTAGTTAATAAACTTGTTTTTGTTTTCTCTAAAACCAGTTTGTGGAATTCATAACTGGGAGCAGGAGGGGGACAAAATCTGTGCACATCTTCCTCCACACGGAGGGAGGGGGCGAATTTAATATGCAGCGCACAACAATACAATTTTGGGTTTATACTCCAGAGGGGATGTGCACTGGATTCCAGGCAATTCCCCAGCTGAAGCCTATTCATGCAGAGCTGATTTCAGTGTCTGTGTCTTTCTGCAGCTGGGTGTGTCCCTACCTGTGTGCATGCTGGAGGAGGCTTGAGGGCCTGGCTCAGCAGGACAGTGTAAGGGAGCCCAGGCTGGTGGAACAGCCGGGCTCAGTGGCACCCCGGACGTGTGTGGGGGGGTAACCCATCACACCCATCTATAAACATTCTTAGTTGTCTAAGAGTACACTAAAGAATGGATTCACAATACTTTTGGAAAATAATAGAGACTTTGGTCTAAATTTACACACATACACAAAAATTCATGCATCCCCAGAGGTGGTTCACTCTCAAGGATGTAATCTCTGTTAAAGTTCTCCAAAGAGATGTACAGAAAAGACTGTAATGGAAGTCACCAGTTTATTTGCCCGTATTCTGTCATTTGTGTTGTGTTGTTCGGGGTTTTCTTTTCCTTTCTTTAATAGTAAAATAGCCATGGTTAATAATTGTGATTATTTTGCTTGGTCTTGATATGGCATCCCCTAAGGAAAGTAAAATAATCCCTGTGACTAAATAGTGGGAGCCACACCCATGGGTTGGCACTAAGAGAAACAATTATTAAGAGCTGGCCTGCCATTTCTTGTTTCTCTAAACTAAATATTTTTAGTAATTTTTTCAATAAATTTACTCGGTGTCCAAAAATTTTAAAGTACCCCTTCCAACTGCACACTGACCTTTCAATGTCTCTATAGCTCAGTATCCCCATTTGTAAAACCAGGATAATGATACTTAAATTACCTATTTCAGATGGGTGAATATTAATGTTTGTAAAGTGTTACAAATGTGTGAGCATGTAAAGTTCTGTGTAAGTGTTGAGTGGCTTTGCCATTAACATACACCTTATTTCTCTACCATTCCAGTTTCTCAGCATCTACTCTCTCAGCATTTGACTGAACGTAGATGTCTTCTTGATTACTGCAGAATCACCACTGGAGGGGCAGGCAGTGCAACTGGCCACTACAACCCATATGCAGCCTTTGTTACTTTTAGGTCCTCTTATATC